TTTCCTTTGCCTTTCCTTTCCATTATTTGCAAAAACCATATTTCATTCTCAACTAGTAAGAGTCGTCTCCTATTGCTTTCATTTTACAGGCTTTAAGTCACATGCCCATAATAGAGAAAAAGAAAACCTCCATCAATGTTGTAAGAAAAACTGAGGAAATGATGAAAAGCAGAGACATAAAGAGAGGAAAAGGGAAAAGTGGCAGTGCCAAAACATTTTCAAGTCTAACGGTGGATGTTTGGCTTCGGATTTTCAAGCAACGTTTTTTAGATTTGCAAATCTGGAAGGTAGCCAATATTTACTGGGAACTTTAGTGAGGTTAGAATATTATTAAAAATGAAGAAAACTACTGTCGGTTTAGAAAAAAGCAATGGTTGGGTAAAATTAAATGATTTATTACCCCAAGGAATTCGTCTGCTAAAATGCATTTGTATATGTTCACTAATAATTGATCAGGGAAAAATAATAAAAATAATGATAAGAATATAGGATATGAAATGTAGAATAACTGAGTTGGAAGGGACCTTGGCAATCCTCTAGTCCAACCTCCTGCCTAAGCAGGAGACCTTATACGATTCCAGAGAAGTGGCTGTCCAATCTCTTCTTAAAAATCTGCATTGTGGTTAGACAAGTATGGAGGAGGAATATTACTTTGAAAAGAGAGGGGGGAGAATACAGTGAATGGAATTGTAAGAGTTAAAGCCCACCATCTCTAATAGCAAGATGAGTCAAGAAACATGCTATTAAAGGAAGATGCCAAATAGATGATTGCACAGCATTCCAAAACCAGGGTTGGGCAACCTGCATGCCAGATCAGCCATAAGTTCATTTATTTTAAAGTTGAGTAACACAACTTCTCTAGAATTTCCGGCAGGAATTTTGGTCATCTACCACCAACGTCAGAGGTTGAATCTGGGACTTTCTGCATGCAAAACTGGTCCCCTTCCAGTAATTCATACTCATTACTACAATAGCCAAAAGCTATGAACCACCATTCACTCAACGGTTAAGGCATCAAGATAGAACCTGGAAGACCGGAAGTTGTAGTATCACTTTAGGCATGAAGCCAACTGGGTGACCTTGGGCCAGTCACTTTCTCTCTGCCCTAGGAAGAAGGCAATGGCAAACTACTTCTCAAAAACCTTGCCAAGAAAACTGCAAGGACTGTCCAGGCAGTCTTTGAGAATTGGACATGACTGAACGGAATGAAAAAAAAAAATGATCCACCATAGAAACATGGAACTATGCCATTAATTTCTGAGGGTTGTGAAGGAAATGTAGTGATTGTCCACAGTGCATATTTTCAACTCACACTTTGCAAAATGGGCTTTTGTTAGAATTGCAAGTTAGTTGAGACAAATGAACAGACTCTATTCCAGACTTCCAGAGTCTTGTTTCCTTCCCCCGTTTCGTAGACTTGGATAGTTCTATTTGCAGAGTCTTTTCAATTGTTCCAAATCAAAGTATTTATTTCTGTTCATAAATTTACAAAGCCAGGATGGCACACGGTTTCCCCACTCTCTCTTGAACCCAAGCACAACACCTACACCTACACAAATAGGAAACATAATCCAGCCTGATATATATATATATATATATATATATATATATATATATATATATATATATACACACATACATACATACATACATACATACATACATACATACATACATACAGAGAGAGAGAGAGAGATTTTCCACATTGTCCTGATTATTATGATGCTAACCATGCATGCTCAATCTTCTCGTTTAAGTAAATAGGACCACCCCCTTTGTTTTTACAGTAGTGCTTCATGGAAACCATGTGTCTGGCCTTGCATATAAAGAACCACAGAAATGAAACTCCCAAACAAAACAAGAACTGTGATTGTTGAGACTGTCACCTTTTTTTCTGGTAAGGCTGCTGGACCCTCCCCAGCTACGAAAGATTTGACCAAGCTAGTAAAGGTGTGTTCAACAGCTTATGGGAAGAAGTCACTCAGGTCAAGGTAAAATCTGGAGAAACTTTAATGCTCAGGAGTCAGCAGTCCAGTTAGCTTCATTCCTTGATCTCCTTTCCGTCTGAAAATCTTTTTAGTTGGGGAACAAGAGACCACCCCTAAAGCAGAGTTTTCTGACACATATCATGTGCATTCAGAGGATTTGGGATATGGCAAATATTTTTCAAGTTAAAGTCTACATTTGGCCTTTGGATTGGAATATTACACTTAAACACACACACACACCTCCCCCAAAAAGACCATATTGGAAGAAAGTAAAGGAATAAGGGAGGAGGGGAGAAAGGAAATGAATCAGCCTTTTAGAATCAGAATAGAGCTGGAAAGGACCTTGGAAGTCTTCTAGTCCAGGTCCCTGCTCAAGCAGGAGATCCTATACCATTTCAGGCAAGTCTCTTCTTAAAAACCTCCAGTGAGTAAGCACCTACAACTTCTGAAGGCAAACTGTTCCATTGGTTAATTGTCCTCACAGTTAGGAAGTTTCTCCTCAATTCCAGGTTGCTTTTCTCCTTGATTAGTTTCCATCCAATGTTTCTTGTCGTGCCTTCTGGTGCTTCGGAAAAATAAATTCACTCCCTCTTCTTTGTGTCAGACTCTCAAATACTGTTATATTGCTATCATGTCCCCGCTAGTCCTTCTTTTCTCAAGACTAGCCAAACCCAATGACATTGTATTTCACTGAACTTAATAATCAAATTAATTGCATGCCATTACAAACATGGCAATGTCATTAGGAATATTTGTATTTATTTAATAATGTTCCTTTTGTGTCATCTTAGAATTTACAACTAGGCAACAGTGTCTTTTGGATAGATTTTTGGGCTTTGTGTGGCCCTGAGGTTTCAGACTATCCACTTCTGGAGTAAAATAAAAGCTAAAGCCATCTTTAGAGAATTGCACAAGAATTGCACAAAGTTATTGCCTTCCCTGTCTGTATTCTCTCTTTGTAGAGTCTGTAGCCATTTTGGATTTAAACCTGCTTTTCCAATTAAACTTATTCTCTTAAACGCTTACTAACTCTGAAAATAAATATCCATTATTAATACTCAGCTGCCATCTAGTGGGTATGAAGGAAAGTCTCAGTCCCTCTTCATGATGGATGGATGGGTGGGTGGATGGATGGACGGACCGACAAATAGCTAGCTAACTAGCTAGCTAGCTAGATCTTAAACAGGATGTTTAACCATATGTGTATGTGTATGTATATGTGTGTATGTATATGTATGTGTGTGTATGTATTGCATATATATATGTATGTATTGCATATATATACATATACATATACATATACATATACATATACATACATACGTGTGTGTGTGTGTGTGTTGTATTTGTGCAACAAAGGCAACAGTAAAAATATTGGGTTTCTGTCGTGATGGACTCTTGTGACGAGCCGAAGGACAGATGATGGAAGCAGTTAGCTTCCTCCCATAATTGGGGCTTACCAGGGGTTGTAAAAAATCTAATATATATATATAGCAGAAGACAAGAAACTTACTTTATGCAAAGAGGCTTGTACTTTACAGGTCCAGGGTGCTGTTGTTTATGAGGAGGAAAAACAAATGTGCTTAATAAACTTAATAAATGTGCTTAATAAACCTTTAGGACTTCACAAACCTAACTGGTTAATATTTAGTATTACTGATCTCTGTAACAAGATACGATCAGGGATCTGTACTTATGGGCTGTATGTAAAAATATCTTGTTAACACAAGAAATAGAATTGCCATGCAAATCAATTTTTAAGTTTTATTAGGCACTCTTTCAGGGAAAACCTTATAGCTCAAGATCAATAATTTCTTAATTTCTATATAGAAATATAGTAATCCCAGAGATTAATTTGGATGAGAGATTTCTTTTCCCCTCCCACACACAAAAATATCAAATCCCCTTGCAAAAAAATAAGCACATTAATTAGCATTTTAAAATCATCTCTTTATGCCAGCAGTATAGAAATATGAAACTTTCTACTTGGAAAATTCACTGATTATGTGCCACAATTTCTAGTTCTCTACTTTGCTGGCATCCAGCCACAGGAAATCCTATTTATTTTTTTGCATATTGGGGAGATTTCAGGGGTCCTAAATATATCTTTTTTTTCTTCCATTTGAATTCATGGAAGTAACCTTTTTTCCTATGGGAAAAAGATATATCTTTATTGGATAGGAAACACAAAAAGGCACCATCTTGCTCTATTTTTCTAAAAGTTGCTAAAATAAAAAAAATAATAATTAAATAAAATATAAATAAAATATAATTAAAACAATAAATCAAAAAGAAAACAAATAAACTCAAAGGGCAGAGTCCACAGACCACTTTTTCTGTCTTTAGTTTTTCATGTTTATATATTTCTGTTATTTGCAATTCATTTTATTCATGTTGCAATTGTTTTCCTCACAGGCACGTCTTTTAAGCAAAAATAATAACACAGCCTGAATTATGAGCCAAATTGTTAATTTTTCCCAAGTCAAGGTAAAGTTTCCGTTTTCACTAATCCTCCACCCAGACAGTAAATATGTAGCTTTTTTTTCCTCAAAAACAAACAAACACTAAATCTATCTCGGAAATCTTTTGTAACGTTTAGCATCAACCACCACAAAAAAGCCCGCCAATTTCTCCTCCTCTGTGACGTCACTCAGAGCCCCACCTGCATTCAATTATTAAAGCGCACACGCCCCGCCCCCATTCCCCCCCCCAATTCTGCACCGCCCATTCGAGGGCGTTATCCAATCCCCAGTCTTTTTCTCCTGCCCGGCCCGACTCCTCCCTTTTCGGGTGAGGGGCGTTTCAGAGCACTTTTCCTATTGGACCAAGCGAACAGCCACTCGACCGATCCGAGCAGTGCATTCGCATTGATGGGCAGGGCGACTAGCCAATGACGTACTTCCTTAACTCCAGCAGTCTTTTTGCAGCAACAAATCTTCCGTTTTATCTTTCCTCCCTTCCATCCTGTCTGCAAAGACGGAAGGGGGTTCCTCGCCCCCGCACCCACCCACCCACCCTTCGCCTACTACAGCTTGGATGAGGTCAGTATTTAGATTGCTTCTTTTGCATCCGTTCATCTATCAGTCAATGCACTGAATTCCTTTAGGTTAGCCTTGCCTTATGATGTGAGCTGGGAACTCTGGGAATTGTAGTTCCAGTGTATCAGAAGGCTCATTAGATTGAGAGATCCATGCGTGTGTGTGTTGCACGCGGTTTATGTATGTTTGTGTCCTTGATGGAAGTGATGAACTTTGTGAAGAACTGCACGGTTGGCGGTGTGCATTGAGGCTTTGCAGAAGAGCACTTCCTTGATATCTGAGCCAGGATAGTTAACCCCCCTGAAGACGGTTTTCGGCATTCACACGTTCCAGGATATGATGGAGTTCAGTCTTTTGTAGGAACGCACAATGCAGTCTTTGCTGCTGAAGGACCCAAAGGTGCTCTATCCTGGCTCAATCGTTCTAACCAAGCCTTATTCCTGGGGCAATACCTGGAACATATTTTCTTACAAACCGTACATACATATATAGGGAAATAGTAGCAATAGCAATAGCGGTTAGACTTATATACCACTTCATAGGGCTTTCAGCCCTCTCTAAGCGGTTTACAGAGTCAGCATATTGCCCCCACAGT